GGGTTGCTATGAGTCAGAAACATATTACATATATATTACATATTACATATCTATGTATATATATGTGTGTGTGTGCATGTACTGTACATAAATAACACATATATATCCTAGCTCTGTTCACTGAGAGGGCCCAGAAGCAATGCCACGCCAAGAACAATGAGAACAAAAGCCCAGATCTTAACACTGTTCTCCACTAAGAGGAACCAAGGCTTCTTGGAGAAATGGTTGCTCCTAGGGCTGGGGCAGGGAAAGTGTAAGATAGTCTGGAACATCTTATCATACCATAAAGCAAGAAAATACTCAAGAGTGGTGAGGACATGTGAAAAGGACACAGGAGCCACCCTGACGGATCTGTCACTGGTTAAATGTGGTACATCAAAATTATGAGTATCAAAAGACAACCCACTGAATAAGGTAGAAACCCCTGATTCCATAATGATTTAAATAAATACATAATACATAGATTCATAAATGAAAGATGGAGAAGAAAAAAACTCTTCCTTGCAGTAGACTGCCAACTACTACATGTAGAAGGAATGATGGGAATAGAAGATTACCACCATTATAGTGGTGGTTGATTCAGGAGAAGGTCATTAATACGTGCTACATTTCTTGGGTGGAAATATAACAAAGAACAAGATACTGGTGTACTCTTGGAACACATCCCCACAATGTAACACTGATCAATTACGAAGAAATAAATGGTGATTTTTATGGTGGAAAACCATGACAGAAAAGAAAAAGGAAAGAAGTCACAAATGATAATTTGGGAGAAGATAACTGCCAAATGTATAACAGTCCAAGGATTAGAGTTCTATATATATATATAAAGATACACACACACACGCCAAACCCACTGCCATCAAGTTGATTCTGACTCACAGCAGTACCATAGGACACAGTAGAACTGCTATATAGGCTTTCGAAGGCTGTAAATCTTTACAGAGCAGAATGTCTCATCATCAACCCACACAACATCTGGTGGGTTCAAACTGCCAGTCTTCTGGTTAGCAGCCCAATGCCCACTGCACCAACAGAGCTCCTTTTATATACAAAGAGCTTCTACAAACCAACATTTGTATTGTAGCCCAATTTAAAAAGGGACAAAAGATATGATCAAGCAATTAAGACAAGATTTATAAATGATCAACAAACATACGAAAAGGTGTTTGTCATCACTAGTAATCAAATAAATACTAAGTAAAAAAGATAACATTAAAAAAAATACCTGTTACTCTGTAGAAAAAATATTGATAATATAGCAGTCTCTTCTCTGGCACCACAAAGTATGTCAATCAGAAAAGAAATGAAGGGATTTTCTGAAGTGTCAAATGGCTAGAGAATATGCCAGTGATTTTGCAAATAACTTTTTATACACAGACAGCAAATATAACTTCCCTTGCTAATGCAGAAACATCCTTTGGAGTGCACTGAGAACTTCCTCGGGTGTTTGAATTATAACCCACCTGCTGCTATCAAGTTGATTCTGACTCATAGCAACCCCCATTGGATTTCCGAGGCTATAAATCTTTACAGAAGTAGATTGCCCCATCTTCCTCCCACAGAGCAGGTCGTGGGTTTGAACTGCTGGCCTTCTGATCAGCAGCCAAATGCCTTACCCACTATGCCACCAGAGCTCCTTCTTTTTTGAATTTTTTTTTTAATTGTGATTTGGGTGAAAGTTTACAGAGCACATTCAATTTCTATACAGCAGTTCACACACACATTGTCTCATGACATTGACTGCATTTTCCCACAAGGCAACAACTCCCTTCCCACTTCCTCCCCAGTCACCTCTTCCCTATGTCCTTCCCTCCCATGCACTCTTGACATCTGAGCTGTCTCCCTGGGGATACACAGCCCTTCTATTCTCCCATGATTGCCTTCTATTCTCCCATGATTGATCTCTCCAAGGAGCGTATCTACCTGATGTAAGTGTTCAGCCTGTATGCCTGTTTATTATTTGGCTGGAAGCCATAGGAGTGAGTTCAGTTCCAGACCTGAAGGGCAGGTGGGGCCATACATAGTCTCAGGGGTTTCACTGCACTCTAGCAGACCAGCAAACCTGGCTTTTTTTTTTTTTTTCAGTTTTGTTCCACATTGTTCCCCACTCTATCCAGGATCTCCTGCACTCACCCCCTTCTGAGTGGTTGATAGTGGTAGCCAAGCACCATCTAGTTCTTCTGGTCTCATGGTCATATAAGCTGAGGATTGCATGGTCTACCAGTCTCTTGGACTAATTATTTCCATGTGTCTTTGGTTTTCTTCATTCTTCTTTGTTCTAGACATGGAGAGACCCATTGTTGCATCTACATGGCCACTTGCAAGCTTTTAAGATCCCAGTCACCACTCACTAAAGTAGGATATAGAACAATGTTTTTGTGTAGTATGTTATGCCAATTGAGGAGAGCTCCTTCTTGAATTATAACACATATGGCCATATACTCGAGCATTAACAGGAAGGGGCAAGAGGCAGTCATGGTATGATTTGAAAAAAAAAAATCAGAATGTCTTGGGTTAATATCTATCTAGTATGCCTCCTCAGGAAGCCTACAGTATAGAGGGAGAAACCAAACCAAACCTGTCACCACTGAGTTGATTTGGACTCATGGTGACCCCTAGTGACTCCTAGTGACCTCTCAGGACAGAGTAGAACTGCCCCACAGGGTTTCCAAGGCTGTAAATCTCTGGAAGCAGATTGCCTCATCTTTCTCCTGTAGAGCAGTTGGTGTGTTTGAACTGCCAACCTTTTGGTTAACAGATGAATGCTTTAACCACTATGTCAGGAAGCAGAAGTTAATCAGATAATATGTAGATAAGTTAAAGTTGCAACTGGAATAACTGATATGAGGAGAGGTACATGATGATACGAGAGCCTAAGACAGGGAGGTCAGGAAAGGCTTTCCTAAGAAAGTGAGGCGTAAGGTGAAATATCATGGCTGGGAAGGGGGTTAACTGGGTACAAAGAAGAAGCAAGAGCATTTCAGGCAGAAAGGCAGTGTGGCCGGGGAGGCAGTATGATGAGTAAGAGGGATTGAGAGGTTGGTGCGGTTGGAAAAGACAAAAAAGGGTGAGACAAAGCTGGAAAGGCCCACTTATCCTGGAGGCCTGAGGGTGTTAAGCCCAGGGATGGGCCCAGCTCTGTGTCTAGAGAAGATCCCTCTCACTGCCATGTGCACTTCTCTATATACTGAACTCAAATAAGTAACTGTCCCCCTATTTCTATCCTCTCTCCTGCCTTGGGGACCACAGATTTACGCTTTCTTTCTCATGACACATGTTTGGGGAGGGTAGCCTCCCCTCCCTGACCCCTGTTGATCCCTGCCACCCAGCTCCTTCACCAGGGGGCATTGTTCCCATCCTCCCCCACCTCAGGTAGATTTGTGAATGCCCTTCCGTCTGTCCTTTTCTCCCTCAAAGTGCAGGGCTGAGAACAGAATGTAAAACTGATGGAGGGCAAGGGAAGGCAAATGGAAAATGATTATTGAACAAGCTGAAAACTGCCAAACACATAAACTCTCACTTTGAAACCATCATCTGACGGAAATGGAGAACAATAAAACCGAGAATAATGAATGTACAACAACTAAAGTATATTTAAAATGCTGGATGGCCAGAGGATATCAGGAGAGGGAGGACAGGGGGCCACTTCATCCTTTAGACGTCACCTAACACAAAAAAAGGGGCAACTGCACATTTTCAAAAACAAGCCTTGTGAAACAGTAGTGAATTTAAACATTATAATTTTGAAAAATACCAAAGCAAAAAAATTACTTATCCAGAATACTATAGAATAATCCAGAATACTACCACTACTAATAATAATGCAGAATATCCAGGCAGAATACTATCTGTTGGAGCCACACATATGCACACGAGGAATCATACAGATGTGCTATCAAATAAATAAAAGTAAGTTATAGAATAATTAAAAAAAAAAAAAGTGAAAGTGTATATGATACATGTCTATGTGCACTCAGAATGGAAAGACAGGGAAGAAAAACCCCAAGTGCAAGGCAGTGGCTGTGTCTGGGAGTAAATGGGGCTGCACAATTGGGAAGGAGTACATGCTTCTAGAGCTGGTGGGCACCACTCTATTTTTTAAGCTGGGTTGGGGCACTTGATGTTCATTATATTATTACATTTACTTTTCTATATCTCTGAAATATTTACCCATAATCTTCTTTAAAGAAAATACTGATAGCCTAAGTTGTTAGTGAATTACTAGTAAGAACAGGAACAAGGACTCTTCACTCCTCCCTAGTAACTGATTTTCTATGTAAGAGCAGGCTTTCCAAAAAAACCAAACTCATTGCTGCCGAGTCGATTCCAACTCATAGTGACCCCTCCTTGGGTTTCCAAGGTGGTAACTCTACATATATGTCTCTACGGATACTTTGAAGATTGTCCCGTCTTCCTTCTGAGGAGTGGCTGGTGAGTTTGAACTGCCAGCCTTCTGGTTAGCAGTCAAATGCATTAGGCACTACGCCACCAGAGCTCCCAAGAGCAGGCTTTGTTGTTGTTGTTATGTGCCGTCGAGTCGGCCCCGACTCATAGCGACCCCTCCTTGGGTTTCCGAGGCAGTATCACTATGGAAGTAGGATTGCCCAACCTTCCTTCCGAGGAGTGGCTAGTGGGTTTGAACCGCCAGCCTTCTGGTTAGCAGTCAAGTGCTTTAGACAGGTTAAATCCCTGTGTGGCATAAAATAGTTTTATGATAAGATACAGGCACAGTACTAATGTACAGAATTGAGGGCTCAGTCCACAGAGTTATGTGGGGCGACTTTTAGTCACTGAAACACCAAATTGTACCCAAACAAGAGAACCTTAGCCCCATGTTTCTAGATGGAAAGCCTGGTCCCATGTGGTCTCCCATGGACTGCTGAATGCTGAATTTACAGAGTTAGCTCCTGTATTTCAGAAGCTCCCCTGTATTCCCTATCACATGGGCATGGAGAGTATGGAATTTTAGTATTCCATCTGCCATCAGTTCAACTTACCTGCTGCTCCATGGTGCTTGGATCAATAAATGTCACCAGGTCAATGGAGAAGTAACCAACCACATCTCTTCCTCTAAAGGCTTTTCCAATTTGGAGGCACATAGAAGAGAGAACTTGGGGGTCCACTGAGGTCTGAGGCAAGGTGGTGCCGGAGGAAATCAAGGGGCCATCTGCATGAAATTGGTCGCCTGTTGACAGTATCCTGATTACTCCATTGGGCTCTATTAGCATGTCCACCGTCAGGTTGGTGACACTTTCTGCAGGTGGAAACGCTTCGATCACGCCCCCTGGTGGGAAAAGCATGGAGAAGGCGAAAGGGTGGGTTCATGCGGACTTTGCCCATTTAGTTGTTGTTGTTATGTGCCATCGAGTAGGACCTGACTCACAGCCACCCCTCCTTGGGTTTCCCAGGTGGTATCACTATGGAAGTAGATTGCCCAACCTTCCTTCTGAGGAGTGGTTGGTGGGTTTGAACTGGCAGCTTTCTGGTTAGTAGTCAAGTGCCTTGGGCACTATGCTACCAGAGCTCCTAGAAAGAGCACAGGCCTTGGCAGTTGGATTGGGCTCAGATCCTAGAATCTTGCATGTCTTAAGGCAACTTAAATTCTCTGATTTTCCTTTCCCTCATTTGTAAAGTAGACATAATTAAAATAAACCTATCTCATTGGACTACTGTGAATTTGAGAGATATTTTGTCTAAAGTACTTAGTACAATGCTTGGCATGTAGTAAGTTTCCATGAATGGTTCTTTTAATTCTGACCATAATTAGGCAGACACCATAGAGAGTGTCAGGTTGATGCCCATCCATTACATAAATGACAAGCCCAAGGACTAGGTGCACATCTCTCAGGGGGAATGAACTGCTCATAGACCAGTGCTCTTTTGCTCAACTTTACTACTTCTCGAAGGTTTGATAGGTTTGGGTTTTGATCAGGTACAAGAGAACATATGTGAACATACGTCAGCCAGAGGACTCTTTATCAAGTCGATTATAGGACAATTTTTAAAAATAGAGACCCGAGAGATGCCACTTCTCTTGAGGAACAATTGTCCTTCCCCTCCTTGCTGACAATGAGACCTTTATAATTTATCATATTTTACTTTTGGCTTGGAATTCCAAAATAATAGAGGTAAGTCTGATGCTTGATCAATACAACAATATTAGCTCTGGCTAATTTTGTGGGCTAGCTTGGTTGATTCCACAAACATTACATGACCTCACTTTTCTTACCATATATATGCCTTCTATACAAAAAGTTAAACAAACAAACAAAAAAAAGCCCACTGATTTGTAAAGTGTTCAATAATTTATAAGTAAAAGCAACTAAGTGTTCCCTAGACAGGGTAGCCTCTGGACTGTGATAGCATTAAGATAAACTTAACCTGTATTACAAATTTGCTGAGTGGGGGGTGACCTTTGCCCAAAGGTATAAACCACAGGCTTTAAACAGCATGTATGGTTAAACCCTGAGATTTTAGCAGTTCTCCAGTGCAGTAATCTATTACTTTATACAAAAGACATTTTCCTTAAATGTCTGTAAAGTTGGCTGGAGCTGGTCCTGAAGAAAGCTGAGTTTTGGAAGGAAAACGGATTACTTTAGGAGGGTACATATTCAACCCCTAATTTATCTATTTGGTTGGCTCAGGATGTGTTTTTTTTTTTTTCAAAAGAGGTGTCCTTGTGTGTACCCATATGTGTCCTGTACCCATATGCCAGTTATTGGAGATTTAACAAGGCAAATGTAACAAAACAAAGTCTAATTCAGTTAACTTTGTGGTTTTAGCTGTCACCTACCCTTTCAGCAAAGAGCTCTGATGGCATAGTGGCCACCAGCTGCTCCCCAGGAGGAAGATGAGACAATCTACTTCCATAAAGATTTACAGCCTTGGAAACCAAATGGGGGTCGCTATGAGTCAGAATCGACTTGATGGCAGTGGTTTGGTTTGTTTGGTTTGTGCTTTGAGAAAGGAGCCCTGGTGGCACAATGATTATGCGCTCTGCTGCTAACTGAAAGGTCAGTGGTTCAAACCCACTCAGTGCCTCAGTGGGAGAAAAGACCTGGCCATGTGTTCCGGTAAAGATTATAGCCGAGGAAAGCCTATGGGGCAGTTCTGCTCTGTAATATAGGGTCACTATGAGTCAGAATCAACTCAAAGGCACACACAATAACATGTTTTGAAAGACAGTGCTTCAGTGGAAACATTATCCTTCATAATTTACAAAATTACTTCAGATATTCTATTTCAATTAAGCCTAGTTGTATTATCAGCATCATGACCACCACAGTTTTTTCAGTTAACTTTTTCCTTTCAAATTAACTAATTACTTTTTCCTCTTCTTCTTCTTTCTTTCTTTATTTTTTTTTAAAATGTATTGCCTTTGATATAATCCTAGGACAATACAGAAAACAAGGAGCTCTGGTGCTGTAGTGCCTAAGGCATTTTTGACTGCAAACCAGAAGGTTGGCAGTTCAAACCCACCAGCTGCTCCGTAGAAGGTAGATTGGGTCATCTACTTCTGTAAAGATTTACTGCCTCAGAAACCAAAAGGGGGTCGCTTTCAGTCAAAAGCGACTTGATGGCAGTGGGTTTGCTGTTTGGTTTGGCTCTATGTACTTAGCTCGGGGCCAGGCAAAAGAATCCAATTTTTGAGACATGCTATATTTGTAGGATCTAACTTTGGGTTCTCATTCACCACTTATTTGTCGTGTGGTTTTGCCCTAGTCACTCCCCAGCTCTGAGCCTTAGGTTCTTATAAAACTGGATCAATAAAGCTTGTTCTGCCTCTCATGAACAAGCATGGTGCTTACACCATGGCTGAGAAGAAAGGATAAAGAGGAGCAAAAGGCAAACAGGAGGCTTTAGCTTGTGGTTATATTGCTCAGGTGAGAAAGTGGCTGGAAAAACACTTTTTGATCTATAAAACTCACATGCAAATAAATATTTTAGAGGAAGGCTTTGCAGGCTGACCTTGGAAACACCCTAACATGCTGTCCTGGATGGATCTGGCGATCTCACAGCCTTCCCCTTCCCTCTGAAAAAAATCCCGCTCCCCCTACTTTTTTTTTTTTTTACCCATTTTTGTTGGAGGTATCTTATTTTCCATTTAGTCATGGGGTTGATGCTCTTACTTTTAATTTTTTGTGACTGTACTTTAATTTTCAAGCTGAGAGGACATTGGAGGTCACTAGCAGAACTCCCTTCTCAGTGAAGAATTCTTTTTCAGCTTTCTTGTAAGATGACTGGCCATTCAACCCCTTGCTTAAATAATTCATTAGCAAGGTGTTTACTACAAATCTCCTCACCCTACTTCCCTGCCCCTGCCCCACCAGTCAGCAATCAACAGATCCCTCCTTTCAAGATAAGTTCCTTGATAAAAGTACCTACTGCTTCAGCTATGACTGGGGTGGGAGAGTGGGGGGAGGGAGTTATTGGCTCTGCCACTTATTTATTCTGAACATTTTATTGTGGTTTGGGTGAAAGTTTACAGAGCACATTAGTTTCCCATTCCACAATTTATAGACATTTTGTTTCGTGGCATTAGTTGCAGTCCCCTCAGTGTAACAGCACTCTTCCCACTTCCTCCCTGGGTTTCTTGTTTCCATTCACCCATCTTTCCTGCCCCTTCCTGTCTCCTGAACTTTGTTTTTGGGCAAATGCTGCCCTTTTGGTCTCATACGGTTGATTGTTCTGAAGATTATGTTCCTCACAAGTGTTACTGTTCATTTTATAGGCCTGTCTATCGTTTAGCTGAAAGGCAATCCCTGGAAGTTGGTTCAGTTCTAGGTTTGAAGGGTGTCTAAGTCTGCCACTTATTAACTGAGTGATGTGGGATGAATTACTTAATCTTTTGTACCTCAGTTTCCTCATCTATTAAGGAGAGTGATAATAGTACCCACCTCAGAGGACGGTTAAGAGGATTAAATAACTTAATACGTGTATGCTTAGAATAGTTCCTGGAATAATGCCTAGAACAAGCACTGTCTGCTATTATCATAATTGTCTTGTTGCTGCTGCTGTTGTTATCATCTGAAAGTTCTTTCATTTAGTATTATTATCACTTCACAGATCTTTTAGTCCCTGGAGGCTGCTATCAGATCTCCCTTAATCTTTTAAAAAGCCAACCATATCCTCTTTCCTGAACTCTTCCTTATAAGGTTTGGCTCCTTAATCTTCTCATTACCTTCCTCTGGGCATACTTGAAAGGAGCCCTCCTGGCACAGTGGTTAAAGCAATTGGCTGCCAAGCCAAAGGTTGATGGTTTGAATCTACCAGCTGCTCTGTGAGGAAAGATGTGGAAATCTGCTTCTGTAAAGATTTACCAAACCAAAACCAAACTCACTGCCATCGAGTCGGTTCCAACACATAGCGACCCCTCTTTGGGTTTCTGAGGTTGTATCTCTATGGAAGTAGATTGCCCAGTCTTCCTTCCTAGGAGTGGCTGGTAGGTTTGAACCACCAGCCTTCTGGTTAGCAGTCAAATGCCTTAGGCATTATGAAGCAGTTCTACTCTGTGCTATAGGGTTGCTATGAATTGGAACCAACTTGAGGGTAATGAGTTTTTGGGTGGGCATATTTGAGTGAGTCAGCAATCTTGTAGACAGAGGAGCTCAGATGTGCTCTGACCACCACTGACTAGAGTGGACAGATAAGCCCTGCGGTTCGTCATTGTAGCTTTCTGTGGTTCGTCATTGTAGCTTTTTGTGCTCATCAGGGGTAACCAGATAAGAATATCTGCCTTCAAGTGTAATCTTCTAGAGAGAACTGGGGGCACTGCATGTGCGTGCCTCTGTGTAGCACTCACACAGGGACCTCTGCAGCTGGAGATAGTATCATTTGCTCCATTTATTCCCTCATTCATGGACCTCATGATGTTGTTAGAAAATGAAGATGAGTTAGGATGACCATGATGAAAGGAACAGATGGAGGCTAGCATTGTTTTCTGGACTGCAAAGGACTTTTATCTGGAAATTCTACCTTTAGAACATGGGCCAGGCCAAAAGGTCAACAATTATTCTAATGCAAAGATGAGAAGATAAGGGGGGAGGGAAACTAGAGCACTGGAAATGGAGCAACCAGATGCAATGAAGGAGAAGGTCGACCCACTGTAAAAAATGTAACAACTAATGTCACTGAACAATTTGTGTAGAAACTGTCAAACAGGAACCTAATCTGTTGTGTTAACCTTTACTGAAAACACAATATATAAAACAAACAAACTATGGGCCAGGGTGGTGCCAATGGCTTGCCCTTGACTACTAATGTAAAGGTTGGTGGTTTGAACTCACCCAGCAGTGCTGCCAAAGAAATAACTGGCAATCGGCTTCTGTAAGGGTTAAAGCCAAGAAAACCCTATGGAGCACCTCTATTCTATAACATGTGAGACTGTCATGAGTTGAAATTGACTCAATGGCAACAGGTTTGGTTTGTTGGGTTACCTTTACAACTGTAACTAAGACCATTTCTGCTCTCCTAGAAATTGGAAGGCGAATTAACATGTATTAGAAACTCATTTTGTGTTAGCTTCATGGTAGAAACTTTCCTATCTACATTTCATTGAATCCTCACAACAACCCTGTGAGTAGGTAAGTAGGTAAGTGAGGAAACTGGGCCTCCAAGGGTTTAAGAACCTTGCTCAAGGTCATGGATACGATCCAGACTAAGCTCATGTGATTCCGAAGCCCACCTCTCAGGAGAAGTCTGTAGTGCAAAAAAAAAAAAAAAAAAATCCCGGGACCTTGAGCTACGCACACCATGCTTATGACACACAGTTCCTATTTACTTAAGAGGCTGGGTGCAAGATCAATATTTAGGCAAAGTTTGAAAAAGAAAAAAAAAAAAAAAGGCTGTTTCTTCAGGAGCACTTTTCTAAACCAATAGAAGGGATGCAACGTATTTAAATTGGCCCTAGGTTGACCCAAAACTAGAATTCAAGGTTGTGTAACGACTAATCCTCAACAGAAACTTTACAGTCTTATTTACCTTGACTGAGAAATGTTTGGAGGAATTTCCCCCACGTCGGGAACCGTTTCTCATTGACTGGCTGTGCGTGCTGTGCTAAAATGCCCGCCAGCTCCTCGGAGATCTTCACCAAAGCTGGCTCCTGCAGAAACAAATTAAATAGAACCACAAGCAATTTTACTACAGAAATGAAAACTGCTTGTGGAGTGATTAAAAACCAGGCCTCCAACAGGCAAAAAAAATGTGGTTACTGTTTACCCAGAGTCAGAAAGCCATTTTGAAAATTTTCTCTATTTTTTCAGCCATTTCAGTTTTCATATTTCAAAGTGATTTGGCCCCTGAAAAATTGCCGGTCATGGTGCCTGTTGTCTCTGAAAGGCACTTTCTGTCTGGCTGTCAGGAAACTCAGGTTTCAGACTGCTACCTGTTACCAGCTGAGTGTCCTTGGACAATGTGCCTCCCTTCTCTAGGACTCAGTTTCCTTTTATGAAAAATTTTAAGTTTAACTAGTTTGTCCCTTGCCCCTCAGACGTGAACTTTTTTTATTCTCTGACCTTAACAGGGTTGACCCTGGGAGAAATTATAGAGTTGGCAAGGTATTTTGGGGTGCTTCCCTATCTTTAATCTGTACCCTCTCCCACTCAGTGGTGGGTCCACACATTCTGAACTATGGGATCAAAGCCTTAAACTGTGGGCTGAAGCTATAAAGATGGGATCTAGGCAGGGGCAGGTTGGACGAGCAGGGCCAGCCTCAATCTGCCTGAAACCTCTCTACTAGGCCTGAGTCTCATCTGCCTAGATGAGATATTCTGGCCCCATATCATCAGTAAAACAGCCCAAAGATTACAGAGCCTCTTGTCAAAATGAGAACAGTTGGAAACCCTCTGGCTTTTTGATATAATAGGCCTTGGTTTGCCAGGACTTTTTTTTTTTTTAATCATCAGTTACAGTGCGCTTTCCTCTTAGACTATGTAAAGATTTTTCAAATAGAAGGATCTTTGCCGATTTTATTTCTGCCAGAAGTGAGGTAGGGCATTGGATTAAAAAGTAATAATAATTTGATGGGCAGTATCCATATTTAAAATATAGGAGGTAGACAAGAAAAACTCAGACTTGTTTTGGGTTGCAGGGAAACTTCTGAATCTAAGAGTGACCACTGAGTCATAAGAGGAATCAGAAAATCATCAGCTTTGCAAGTGGGTGGGATTGAAAGGAATCTTAGAAATCATCTGCATGTTTATTTAGTTCCAGCTTCCCCAGTATTAAAAAATGACTGCTGCCCTCCCTTGTTCCCAATTCCTTGGAGCTCTGGATCATCCTGGGTCCAGTGCTCTCTGCAAATCTGCAATAGAAGACAAACATCTGCATGTATACACTGGGCAGTTCCAAATAATCTGAATAATTTTTGCACCATCCAGAAAATCCTGGTGGGAGGGTTCTCATTACTTAGCTTAGTAAATGCTTGGCATACAAAACAAAAATGCCGTGAGGAACAGAGAGAGGGCCCTGGCCCACTCTTGGTTCCGGATGACTCACTGCACAGTAGGGGGAGATCTGTTAAGAAGGGCTGGGGAAGCAGGCTTTTGCAGGGAGCGTGTGCTTTACGATGAAGAGGTAAGGCAAACTGCTATCAAAGCAATGGGCCTTTCCCATCCTTCATATCCTGCACAATGTACTGTGCTCTCTGATCTTTACTGTAAACAACCTGATTCCCCAAAGCCCCACATCTGAATCATAGACAAGCATGTGAAATGAGCAGCCCCAGCAACTCAGACCCCCTCTTTGTTCCTTTTTCAAGTACTGTCATCCAAACCCATCTTCCTTTTTGTTTTATACATGATTCTGTTAAAACAAATCTACTCTTGGCAAAGAAGACCAGTTGTCTCTGATTCATGAAGTGGCCCAAAGCTGAGATGATGAAGCATGGCTTTAGATTACTGACTTGCTTGGGAAAATGGAATCAAAGAAAGGAACCCTCACAGAACAGGCCCTCTCCCAGGAAAATGGAGGCTTCTTTGTTCTGCCTTGATTAAAGGTCTTTCTTTAGCTCACTTCTGGAAGTTGTTAAACCATCTAACCAGTTACCTGCTATTATGGATTTAATTTTGTCCCCCACAAAAATATGAAGTCTTAACTGGCCCTAGGGGTTGGCCTCAGGCCTAAGGCAGTCACCTGCCACACACAATGCTGTCGGTTTGAGCTTGCCAGATAGCTGGGCCGTCTCTTTCTAGGAGCTTTGGTAGCATAGTGCCCAAGGCACTTGACTGCTAACTAGAAGGCTGGCAGTTCAAACCCACCAGCCACTCCTTGGAAGGAAGGTTGGGCAATCTACTTCTGTAGTGATACTGCCTCAGCAACCCAAGGAGGGGTCGCTATGATTCGGGTCCGACTCGATGGCACATAACAACAACAACAACTGCTGTGAAGTAGCTCTGGTGGTGTAGTGCCTAAGCCACTTGACTGCTGACCAGAAACCTGGTGGTTCAAACCCACAAGTCACTCCTTGGAAGAAAGGTTGGGCAATCTACTGCCATAGTGATACCACCTTGGAAACCCAAGGAGGGGTTGCTATGAGTCAGATGCAACTTGACGGCAATGAGTTTGGTTTTTTTTTTTTTGGTTAACTGCGGTAGGTCCCTAGGTAGTGCAAATGGTTTGTGCTCAACTACTAACCTAATGGTTGGCAGTTTGAAATCACCCAAAAGTACCATGGAGGAAAGGCCTGGCAATCTGTTTCTGTAAAGATTACAGCCAAGAAAACCCAATGGAACAGTTCTACTCTGTAACACATGGGGTTGCCATGAATTAGAATCAACTGACATCAATAACCCCTGGACCATGAATGTGATGCTGTTTAGAAATAGGGGGTTTTCTTTTGTTATGTTAATGAGGTCATACCAAGTACAGTGGGTCCTAAACCTAATCCCTTCTGAGTGGCAACTTGTGAAAAAGAGGAAAAAAGACATGGACATACACACACACACACACACACACACGGGGGACGATGCATCTATAAATAGCAAAGGAATGCCAAGGATTGCTGGCAGCCACCAGAAACTAGGAGAAAGGCTCACAGAAGGAATGGACATGGCCAAGACCCTGATTTGGACTTTAGCCTTAATAACTGTGAGGAAACAGTCTCTGTTCTTTAAACAGTTTTTTGGTAATATGTTATGATAGCACTAGCTAACTAAAACACCTGCCATGTGGCCATTTGCATCCATACAGTCCAAAGATAAATCATTCATTCATTCATTCATTCATCCATGTATTTAAAGATTATAGACTATCAAGCCTTTTGAGAAACTTCCCTAGGGGGAAAAAGTGTTTATGTGTTTGGTGGGTGGGGATGAAGAAGAAGCAGTGAAGGAGGTAGCAAGGAGAGAAAACCTTGCTACCTAAATCTTTAAACTCAATCACTATTAAATGAGGATCAAGTCCAAACTCCTCAGCAGGAGGAAGGTTCTTCATCATGTGACCTCTAACTCCTGTGTAGCCCGACCTCCCTCCCCTGAGTTCCTAGCCACCACCTAAACTGCCCTGGCTCAGTCTTCTTCCTGTTTCTCCTCCCCTGGCTGACTTCTCTCACCCTTTATGACTTAGTTCTAGTCACACCTCCTCCAGGAAACTTTCTCTGCTACCCCAGTCAGTGTCCTTTCTCAGTGCTCTCCAGCTCCCATAGGGCTCTTTAATTGCATGAATGGTGACTTTGAGGTCTGTCTCTCCAGTACCCAGCACAAGGAACACTAAATGTTTATGGAAAGAATCATGATGGTGGTGACACAGGGACCCAGCCCATAACAGCTGAAGTTACAGAATAAGGAAGTGTGAAGCCTCTCCTACAGGAACTTCCTGCCTAGGAACCACCTGGGGGGATGACTACTTAAGAACTACCAAATCTTCCTGGGTTGATTTTATGGGATTCCCAGCCTGTGAGGGGCACAGAGAAGATGAATGAGGTGACATTTATGGAGTGTCACCTGAGATGCAACAAGCTATGTGAGGGCAAAAAATTAACTTGTAAGGATGCTCCTTGTGTGAGGCATCTGGACACTCTGCCAAGCAGCCACCACTGCCTCTGCTTATCAAGTGAACCATTCTTACTCGACACTGAGCCTGCTTGCTGTGCACAACACCACAGCAAGGAGGTACATTTCCTAGAGGACAGACTGCTGCAGGAATCTGGAGGATGAATCATGTTTCATCAGCTGAAGGCGCTGGTGGGAGATGTTTAATAACGAACACCGGGGCACATGGAGGTAGCTTGGGGCCATGATTAACTCCTAGAGAGGGATTGTGATAGGGTAGATACTGATGGGAAATACAAGGATTATACTAAGAATGGGCTCAGTAGACAGAATTGTCCCTCTGTTGTTGTTGTGTACCATCGAGTTGATTCTGACTCATAGTGACCACATAAAGCAGAGTAGAATTGCCATATAAGGTTTCCTAGGTTGTAATCTTTATGGGAGGAGCTCTGGTAGCATAGTGCCTAAGGCATTTGACTGCTAACCATAAGGCTGGTGGTTCAAACCCACTAGCCACTCGTCGGAAGGAAGGGCAATCTACTTCCGTAGTGATACCGCCTGGGAAACCCAAGGAGGGGTTGCTATGAGTCGGGGCCGACTCGATGGCACATAACAACAACAATCTTTATGGGAGCAGACTGTCACATCTTTCTTCCATGAAGTGACTGGTGGGTTTGAACTGCCGACCTTTTGGTTAGCAGCCAAGCACTTTAACTATTGTGCCACCAGGGCTCCTTAATTGTCCCTTTACACCTCCCAGAAAAAGAATACAGCAGGACTTGCAGCTCACGCAGACAAGAAAGAGAAGCAAAGTGGCATCTGGGGTAAAAGCTTCACTGTTAGCTCTCCAAAGCAACCCTCAGGTACAGTCTCTGCTGGGGACTCAGAACCTGCTTGTAAACTGGTGGAGTAGGGCAGATCTTAGACCCGGAGCAAAGGTAATATCACAGCAGTGAGAAAATAAACTAAGCATACTGCCTTCCCTTAGAAGCAACAAGGTCCCAATGGCTGCAAAGTGCCTATCAATGTCACATGCATGGGCTCAGAGTTTGGGGAGATTCCTTTCTCTAGTGATGGTCATTTTACTTAGCTCTAACATAATTATCCCAACTTC